CCCCCTCGACCAGGCGTCCTGCCTTCCCTCGTCATCTCGCTGGAAGGGGCCCGGCTTTTCGGTCTCCGCTCTCGCTCCCTGCCTCTGTGGCCTTCTCATGACTGACTTCTCCCCTCCTTTTACACAAATAGGGGTTCTCTCTCTCTCTCTCTCTCTCTCTCTCTCTCTCTCTCTCTCTCTCTCTATTAGTTTGATTCCTCTCCCTCCTGTCCCAGAGGTGCCACAGCTCAGGCATAGGCGCTGCTGTCCTTTGAGAATTTTCTATTTCGTTGCCGTTCAAGGGCTCGGTGCGGGGCCGGAAGGGGGGCCATTGGACTGACATTTCCATTTAAAAACTCTTCTGGCTAAAGCCTGAAAAGGGGGTTCACAGACAGCGGTTCTCAACCTGTGGGTCGCGACCCCTGGAAATACATCCTGCATATCAGATATTTACATGACGATTCGTAACAGTAGCAACATGACAGTTACGAAGTAGCAAGGAAAATCGTTTTATGGTTGGGGGTCACCACCACATGAGGAACTGTGTTAAAGGGTCGCGGCATTGGGAAGGTTGAGAACCGCTGAAAGCTATTAATACTGTAGCTGATCTCGGCTGGGGTTAAATTCCTACACTGGGGCACCACAAGAATGTGTTAGAACAGGTTCTCTCCCTGTACAGGAGGCATCAAACCAAAATGCTCCCCCTGCTCCCTTCACCCCCTTTGAAGCCACTGGGAGGGGGCAAAAGACATAACGGGGTGGTTCACTATGGATTTCACCATATTTAAAAAAAAAAATTGCGTGCCATTATGAACCCCCTTCCTGAGAAATCCCGTGTTTCTCCCACTTCAGTCTTGGTTTGGTGTATCCATCTGCTGGTTTCACCCCTTGCAGGGAGGGGGGCCTGAGCTGCGCATTGGGGTGTTTGCCTTGTTTAAGGGAAGCGGAGTGAGGTGGAGTGAGGTGGGGTGCCCCGGAAGGCACTGGACTTGAGAGACTGACGATTGACTTTGTACACAGAGTCCTACTTAGTAACTGGAACCATTGTCTGTTGCTGCGATGACTTGAGTTGGCAGTTACCATCCTGTAAGATGTTTTGTGGGCAGTGTTACCTGAAGTAGTTTGAAAATGTAGCTGAGTGTCAGAAGGTGTTATCAAGAGATGATGATGCTTAGAGGAGGGCACATGTGGTACAATTGGGTACTAAATGCAGTCAAGACATTAACACCATTTGTGCAGTAATCATCAGATAATTTTCTATGAAACATGTTTTATGAAAATCTAAGTTTAGCCTAGAGACCATTGTAGAGACAATTCAGCCTTCTTTCATAGGCAATAAGTTCACAAATATGGGCTTTAGCTCTTAAAAGTACATGGCAGTTATATAAGAGATGTATGCTATCCTTGGCTTTTTTTTTTTTAAATCATTCAGCATAAAAAGTACTTAATGCTTTTTGTGTTTTTCAGATTCTCTGAAGTTACACCCATCCCAGAATTTTCATAGAGCTGGACTATTGGAAGGTCAGCAGAATGCCTTTTTAAAGCATATTGTGTGAGTATGCAAAGGCTTTCTCTGAAATGGAGTTTAAATGAGAAAGTGTGAAACTTTGCAAACTCATACAATGTAGTTTTCTCTTAAAGAGCCTGATCCTTCTTTTAGAGCAGCTGAATGTTTCAGTGGATTTTGTTTCTGTGTTTGATGTGATTGTTAGCTGTTGTATCTGCTTTGAGAAGCCTCGAACTCCTCTTTATCCCCCCCAAAATCATTAAAAATTATGTGTTGGGTGATCTACCTTAGAATTCCAGAATTCCAGATATTAATAAATAACTTTTTACAAACAAACTGAATATGAAAAAGCTCAAACAAGATCATGAATATAACTAAAAGAGTGACACCAAACACATATTTAGTTTGAAAATTCACAACTTTTATATGCTAAGTATTTCAAAATGATATATTAATTATTTATTACAAAAGCATTGATGTCATTACTATTGCATTATTTTTAAAGATGAGGAAAGCCAAGTAATAGAGATGATGATTAAACTATGCTTAGAAGAAAGGGTTTTAGAACATTCTGGAAACACTAATATACTATGTAGAATAATTAAAACAACTGACCGATTACTTCAGAAAACTTTATTTGGTGTTGTTTTTAGCAATTTAAGACAAAAAAGGTTCTATTTATGTTGTGTTTGTAGTTTTTGAAGTGATTTCACATATATTATCTTTGACTCTTATAATCCTAGAATTGGACTGCAAGGATATTCATTTCCCCATTGTAAAGATGAGTAACCTAAGGCTGAAATTAAGAGACTTGGTGGGGAGGCTGGGGAGAGTCATACAGTAGCAGAAACCATGCTTTTTGTATTTTAGTTGGTGCTCTTTACCTAAAGCCAAGCTGCCATTAGCAATTTAAGACAAAAAAGGTTCTATTTATGTTGTGTTTGTAGTTTTTGAAGTGATTTCACATATATTATCTTTGACTCTTATAATCCTAGAATTGGACTGCAAGGATATTCATTTCCCCATTGTAAAGATGAGTAACCTAAGGCTGAAATTAAGAGACTTGGTGAGGAGGCTGGGGAGAGTCATACAGTAGCAGAAACCATGCTTTTTGTATTTTAGTTGGTGCTCTTTACCTAAAGCCAAGCTGCCATTATACAATATATATGTAACCCGTGCCCTTTGGGGGTAGGGGTCAGATTCTTAAACATTTTGTAGCCCACTTAAAAAAGGCCCTAAATATTTAAGTTTGACCTAAGTGTAGGTGTTTGCTTTCTAAATGGTAGTCTGGTATAATGGAGAAAAATGTGAGTTTTGTAATTGAACTTAAATTTGAATACCAGTTTTGACTATTGATTAGCTCTGTGACCTTGGCAAGTAATTTTACCTCTAAAAACTTTAATAGTCTATCCATAAAAATGTACATAATCACTTAAATTTAGTGAACTAATGTGTACGAAAATGCTTATTGCATATAAAAGGTTCTCAAATTATTGATTATACTTACAAGAAGCCCATAGATAAATATTAGTATGAAAATCGAACCTGGGACCCTTCAGTTTGCAGGCGTACGCTCTATCCACTGAGCCAAACCAGCCAGGGCAATGCTGATCTTTCTTGCTACTACCTTTTTTTCCTTAAAGATAGGAAATTAATTTTTTTTTAATTGCGGTATGGTTGATATATAACATTGAATTGGTTTAAGATGTACAATGTAATGATTAGATATTTGTATATGTTGGGAAATGATCACCACAATGTCTAGTTAACTAGGTCACCATGCATAATTCTGCTACTGATTTTTAAATTTAATTTGGTGATTGCCTGACAGTGGGAAAAGGAAAGTCTAGCTATTTTTTAAAATATGTTTTTTATTGATTTTTAGGGAGAGAGGAAGGGAGAGGAATAGAGAGATAGAAATATCTATTCTATTTTTGCATTTTCCCTACCTTTAAAGAAGATAGTTTGTACATATTTAAAAAAAAAGATGATTTACAGTTATGGTGTGCAGATTTGAAGGCTAGGATTCTTCTTTGGAGTGCCTAGACAAAAAGTTCAACTACAGAGAAGAAGGTACCATTTCTTACACCTTCTGTATTGAAAAATATTTATTATGGCATGTATTGTTTGTCATATAAAAAAAGATAAAAATTAAACTAAGTGGAAGTATACAAATAAGATTAAGTAAGAGTCATTCTAGAAATATAGAGATGTAAGATACCATGGTAGAAAATCAGATAAAACAAAAAAATAAGCAAATTGGAAAAATCAAGTAATAAAAATGGGTTAAAAATTAAAGATGTTTTTAATAGCATGAATTAGATTATGTGATGGATCTTAACTGGTTAAATAAGAACTAAAGACCAATATGATACATCCTGGTATGAATTATACATTTAAGATTGGAAAATTTAAAAAGAAAATATGAAATATTACAGTGACTTAGGGGAAAATAAACTACTTTTTAAATTTTTTTTACTACCCATTACCTCTTTGATATAGTATAATGCATAATTATGCTTTATAGTTCACAAATGGAAATACTTGGTTTTTTAAAAACATTTTAAAAAATATATATTTTCAGAGAAGAAGGGAGAGGAAGAGAGAGATAAAAACATTAACGATGAGAGGGAACCATTGATTGGCTGCCTCCTGCACGTTGGACCGAGCCCGCAATAGTAGCAGTGTCTTACTGACTTTATGGAATATTTCTGAATTGCCATTAGGCCTGATTTATTTCTTTTCCTTGGGTCTGTGTTAGTAAGGTAGTTAGGCCAATAACTTTTTTACATGTGAAATGTATGATGATATCTTATTGGAAAGGATTTAAAAAAATATTTAACATTAAAAATAATCTGTTGGATTCTTTTCTTGTTTAGTATCTATTAGTCTATTGATATATACCTAATAAACTAAAAGTATCATTATCGAAATATTATGAAAATGAAATTCAAACATGTGACAAAAATCATACCTAGTTCATCCTAACATGCAGAATTTTGGATATATGGCTGCAGAACTGGACATTTTTTTTTCTTTTTAAAATATGATTATATTAATTTTTGGAAAGAAAGGAAGAGGGAGAGAGATGAACACTGATGTGGCTGCCTTTTGCATGCCCCCTACTGGGGAATGAGCCTACAGCCTGGGCTTGTGCCCTGACTGGGAATTGAATCAGTGACCTCTCTGTGCAGAGGTGCTCAACCAACTGAGCCACACCGGCCAGGACTTTCCCAACTTCTTGCTTCTAGGATCGGTCTCTCTGATTTCCTACTATTTGTTTTTGTGCTTCTTTCTACTAGTAAACTCTGCTTTCATGATTTCTCTTCTATCCTAGAATTCTATTTTTTATTACATTAAGAGGATAGAAATTCATGTTTAATCAGATGGTTCTTGGCCTGCTCTTAATTGATTCTTGACTATACTGTAATTATTCCAGGAGTCCCCTAAAACTTGAAAATGGTAGTACAGAAAAATATTTTTTATTATAATCAATATAATATACAGGGTGGGACAAAAGTAGGTTTATAATTGTTCATATGAAAAATAATACAATGACTAATAAGTAATAATAAAATAATAAACTTTATTTGCCCCACCTTGTATAAAATGCCACTTTTATTAGAAAAAGTTAACTCATCAGGTTGTTTTCTATTAAGAATTAACTGGTAGTTAGAAAAAAGAAAAGATCGAATTGATAGATCAGTTGGGCCTGATTAATGTAGTGACAGAGGATAGTCTTGTTTGCGTTAGCACTCAGATAAAAGGCATTCTCCAATAGAAATGTTGCCTATTAAACTTTTTGCCTTGTTGCTAAGATTTTATTTCAGGTTACATAAAGGAGATTCATGTCTCTTTTATTTGCTGTTTTAATAAAAATCAAGGTTATAAAAGGTATAATAAAAGGTATAACAAGGGTATAATACACTAATTATAAACGTATACTTGAATGAAAAGGTAGACATTTTCTTTATGGATTGACTACAGATAATGATTTCTGCTTCCAACTATAGATAAAACCTGATGTTGTGTTAAAGGATCTATATTTTTGATCATTTGAACTGAAAATGTGATTTTCAGGTACTTTTATTTATAATAACTATTGAAAAATAGACTTTTTTCTCTTCTTTTTGTTTTTTAATTAACTTTTTATTGTTGAAAGTATTACATATGCCCCCTTTTTTCCCTCATTGACCTCCTCCAGCCCGCCCCAGACCCTCACCGCCCCATTGTCTGTGTCCATGGGCCATGCATATATGGTTACAAGGTCCTTGGTTGATTACCTCCCACCCACCCACCCTCCCCCGCCTTCCCTCCAAGATTTCACACTCTATTCTATGCTTCCATATCTCTGGATCTACTCCGTTCATCAGTTTATTTTCTTACTTAGATTCCACATATGAGTGAGATCATGTGATACTTGTCTTTCTCTGACTGACTTATTTCACTTTCTTGCTTCTATTTTTAATACAGTAGTCCCACCTTATCCATGGTTTCGCTTTCTGGGTTTAGTTACCTGTAGTCAGCCACAGTCTGAAAATATTAAATGGAAAATTATATATATTAATTTATATACAATATATAAATTCTTTACATAATATATTTTGAAAGAGATCATGTCCACATAACTTTTATTATAATATATTGTTATAATCATTCTATTTTATTTTAGTTATTGTGGTTGATCTCTTATTGTCCCTAACTTATAAATTAAACTTCCTCATAAGTAAGCATGTATAGGAAAAAAACATAGTAATGGATAGGGTTTGTTATTATCTGAGGTCTCAGGCATCCACTAGGGGTCTTGGAACATAACCCCTCTTGGATAAGGGAGGAATACTGTATTTACTTGATACATCGGTGATGATTATTCCTGCTGGCCAGCCACGAACCAGCATTGTGTCTTTCTCATTCAGAAACGTTATGGTTAGTCTTTTAGTACATTTGGTACTTGGTTTTGAAGGTAAGGAAAGAACAGAAAAGTTTCTAATGGTGAGCTAAGTTGTTGATTATT